ACGATCTCCGCAGAGGGTTGCGCGGGCACCCGGCACATCGCACTCTCACCTGCATTTCGCGCACTCGACACGCACGATCTCCGCAGAGGGTTGCGCGCGCAGCCGGCAAATCGCACTCTCGCCTGCATTTCGCGCACTCGACACGCACGATCTCCGCAGAGGGTTGCACTTTCGGTTGACGCTGTTCGTCCCACCCTCCGCCTTTAAGAGAGAATTTATAAAGTGGGGAAATGTTTTTTCATTAGGACATCTCCCGTGCTAGTTCACTTGCCTACTCATTGCATGCTTGCAATACTCATTGCATGCATACTCATCATTGCATGCATACTCATCATTGCATGCATACTCATCACTTGCATACTTACACTTACATACTTCCACTTGCATACTTTGACAGCTTTCGCTCTTCCACTTACACAGGGCTACGTATAGCGTTCATGTTATTTATCCTGCCAGTGTGGTGAAAGTGTCAATGTCTAGGTGTGTGGTGAAAGTGTCAATGTCTAGGTGTGTCTAAGTGTACGTGTCGAAGTGTCAGTGTTCAAAGGATTTTCCGGAAGAACCCTTCGCAATGCTTTCGGGAAAAAAACAATTCTGCACAGACCATGGGGGGAAGAGGGGGTGAGGCAAAGTCCTGGCACAATTGTTTTTTTGAAAATTGGAATTTTGGAAAATTGGAATTTTGGAAATTGCCTTTGGGGGAGGGGGGGGTTGAGGCAGAATAGGATTCTTTCAGTGGCACAAAAATCAATAGAAACACAATACAAATATAGAAACAAAATACAAACAAAATGAAACAATGCAAAAACGCGCCGCTCAGAGCGCTCCTTTCTGTATATTATATATTTTGGCATACTGGTGCCAGTTTCATGGCGTGTCATGGCCACCAACCGTTCTGATCGACCAAGGCACTTTCCATCGGCGTCCTTATAGGGTGGGAGCCCAGTCGTGCAATCGTCTGTGGCGTTGGCCACCAACCATCTGACGAAGCGGAACCATACGATTGGACACAGTGGGGATGGGGATCGTGACAAGGCACTGGGGTGGGTTGGTTGACAGGATGAGTTTTATTGAAATGATAGGATCTTCAGAATGCAAATTAATAAGCATCACGGCACTGCGCAGGGCGCGTTTGAGAGTCGATCTGTTCCAAACAACATGTTCCATTCGATGAGTGGGAAAACACATCATCGAGCGAGGAGCGAGCTCATTCATCCGGTCCGGTCAGGGAAGCTTGAGAGATCGTACACATTTTCTTGCGTGAGCCCATTCGGTAGACATGGAGTGTCCACCCCAAAAAATGAGAAAACACCTGTGGCGATTTGATGGGCAACAAGGGGAAACGTAGGAAACTCCTGCACCGATGGGTCACTAGAAACTTGCAACCATGCCTAACAGCCGTCCCGAGGGCATGGTTTTCATGGTGATGAGGAGAGGTTTTGCCCTGAAAACAACCTATTCTTTGGTGGTGAGGTAGTGAAGATCTGGGGATCGGTATCTCCATCAGGTGTGTGAGCTGGCATCAAACAACGCGGATCAAACGGAACAATGCCCTGAACAATACTGAAGCAAACAAGACTTCACAGGACAAACGGATGCCCGAACTGCGCAGCGAACTCTAAGTAAGTATCCCACCATCCAGGACCAGTTCCCTTTCAACAAGTTCCGCTGCATGGAAGTCTTCACCTGCAGCTTCACTTGCAGCTCCATACTCAACAAGTTTTGGAAGCAGTGGGAAGGACATCAGTGACATTAGACCAAAACGACGTATGTCCCAAAACCTGCGCCAACACGGTCCCCCACCTGGTCTCTTGAGAGACAGTGGCCGCAGTGGCTGGGTTGGCTAAGGCCGCCTCTGCCTCCCGGTCTCTGGGGAGCTCATCAAACGTGGTGGTGCAGGGGGGGGCGCGGAATTGTACTTCTCATTGTTTGTGTCTTCCCTATTTTCACCACACCATCTTTGTGTGTGACAGTTGTGAAAAAAGATTCATGAGAAAACCTCATATCATCTGTCGAACTTGTTGATCAATTCCAAGCTTCTTCTCCGCATGTTTGCGTCAAAAGTCCTGCTACGCAGGATTAGTCAAACACAGTGAAACTAATTTGAAACTATATATATAGCTATTTACATCTGATCAAGATCATCACCACACTCTTCGTCATCATCATACATGCAGGGATAAAGCCGCTTGAGCTTAACACGTTCCTGCCACACCCTTTGCAGTATGGCGTTCAAAGCTGGGTCAACATGCCGATAGCCTGGCCAATGTCTCTCTAGGAGCTGGTCCCAATACTCTTCCGTTGCCACCCGGTGAGGACAGACTTTGTCACATCTGGTGTGCAGCTCAGGCTCTCCATACAACTTCATCAGTGTCTCAAAAGTTGGAGAACTCACAAAATCAACCATGCACATGATTTGATTGCCCACTTGAATCACATCGTCGACCTGCAGTTCGACTTGGTCGGATGGTTTGACAAACCACCGTGCTTGGTCAATACTTCGTGGCGGAAACCACTCCACATCATCGTCTTCGTCCTTGAGCTGCAATCGGTCGGGCAAGCAAGAGAGGAGCGCAATGGGTGTCACAGACTTCGCCGGAAGGAGAGTGAACTGGAAAGGCGCGGGGTAACACACCCGGCACTTGACCTCCGCCACCAGGCGTGAAACCGTGGAGTCCTTGCTAAGAGCCAGCCTCTGTGAGGATGAATCGAAACTGAACTCTTGCCCACCGACTTCCGCACGACCCACATCCACCTTCAGGGTGCTATTGTTTTCCTTAGGCATAGGGAATCGCACCAACAGTTTGCGCCCTGCAAACCTCGACGGCTGCAGGACACGCAAGCCCAGAATGGCATCGGTCTTAAAGTCCTTCAGAATCTCCAAGGACTTTCGGCAAAAATCGTCTGGGGTGCAATGCCTTACCTCCATGAACTTCCGCAAATCTGGACCAGCTAGCACCCCGAGATTGTTTTCTGAGAAGAAGGACAGCAACAAGCGTTCTCCATTGGTGTGGGAGTCTGCCAATATGCCTGCCAAAGTTGAATCTTGGAAAGAATAGCGACCGGGAATGTCAAAGTTGGTTTTCCTCAATGCCCGCCACGGCTTCAATGTGCCTTTGAGGGCAGACTCAGGAAGCTGCTGCAAACCAGGTACGCTTGGCCTTGTGGTAGGGTCCTGCACTTCCAATGTTTCAACATCGGCATCTAATGCCAGCTCCACGTAGTTGGCTGGAACATCCAGATCTCCTGAAGCTGCCAATAGAATGCCCTTGGCGACCACCAGGAGCATGCTTAGGGCAGAGAGCGCCAAAGATATCCAGGTGAAGTGCACATCACCCTCGTTCATCATCAATGCCAAGACTTGGAAGATTAGCTGTGGCACTGATTCATAGAGGGCGAAAAGCTTCGCACGAAGCATGAGGCTGTCGATATCGTACCTGGTTGTGCGAACATTCAACAGAATGTACGAACATTATTGGTATGTTGTCAATCAAACACAAAGACAGAAAGATTCAAGCAAACACATAGAAGCTGTGGAGACAAACAAAGAAACCGCCTTAAAATCGAGACCCATGGTGACTACTGGCCAAGGTACGGTCTGAAACTGAAAACTGATATATTCAGAAGATGACTTCGCAGTATCACCAATGCTTCCACTCCAAACATGCTCATGACCACCACCGGAGGAAGGAGCATGCTGTTGCTGTGTCCTTGAAACCAACCGCGCTCCCTGATGCTGCTAAAGAATGTGTACAAAAAGAAACCTAAGTGGTCGACTGGTCGACTTGGCCAGGGTGTTCGTGTTGCCATGAAAAACATTCGGAAGAATAGAGAATGGAATCAACATGGTCTATCATTTGCTTGTCAACAATAAAAAGGCAGAATAAAAGTTCTTTTCTCAACATCAACGCATGCAGCAGTTGGCGGGTAGTGTACTCAGTAAATGCCCGAGGCTCATACATGTCAGCGGGCTCCATCCATCCATACGGTAGAGGCTGACAATGAAGAGCAGGTCAGAGTAGGGGTCGAGGATGGACTGACAAAAGGAGAGAAGACTCAAGAGGCTTGTCTCGGCATTTCGACCTGCAGGTGCATTTTGTTCAAGCAGGAAAAAGAGCAAAGCCGATGTAACAATCATCCCAAATCCTACTCTTCCAGCTCAAAATGGCACAGTTTACAGTATAGTTATAGGGGTCTCCAAATATAGATAGAAAAGTAGATCCCCACTAAAAATGTATTGGAAACCATTTCTATCTATTTGGGGACCACATAAGCAGTACCGGTCAGAAGTGCCACCGCCAGCATTTGTGTGTCAAGCCATCACCAGCACATGCTTTCCCAGCCACACTTGGACACCAATCCCAAACAAACCAGCAGCGTCCCAAAAAGCAGAGCTGGGATGTATGAGATGATCACCGACTGGTAGGTGGTGAAGAAGCCAATCACAAAGGATTCGGCCGTCATGGCTGCCAGCCCGTTATGGCCCGTTTGCTTCACGGTATTTGAGGTGTTGGAGCCCAAGGATGTCTACTGAAGGCGATGGGTCATGTGGTGCTGTGAAGCAGTCGTGAGACACAGCTGTTGATCTGTATATTTCTTTGAATTCAGCTTCTGCAAGCGTCTTTCAACAATATGTCGACGCATGATTGAAAAACAACTGCCTGCATGGATGGTGATGCATGGCGATGCCCGCTCGTTCCTTGTCTTCTCTTTTGTGATCATGATGGGTCATGATGTCCCGGACACATCTCATGAAAATCGACCTCCTTGAGAGCTTCCTCAATGCCTACGAATTGATGCAGCAATTCTTAATGTTGAAGGCTCCAAGGCACTTGAGGCTACTTTGAGCCACTTTGAGCCTTTCACGTGTTCATGGCAATGTCCTTATAGATCAAGAATCAGAAAGACTCCAAAGTCATATCCAGCCGCCAGCCTTGACTTACTGCACGAAACACTCTTGCCAAGATATAGTCCACTGCACAACTCAGTTCAAGTTGCGAGACTTGGTCTTCCATAACTTCCTGTTTCACATTCCTCTTCACATCAAACCTCTTCACAATTCACTGCCCAAATTCCCCCCAAAGGCAGCCGCTGGTCGGGCGCCTCGTGAAGACCCTTGCAAATGATGGGCGCAGGGCCTTGCAACCTTAGTCTACCCACTCACCTGGATTGGCCTTCGGAAGCCGAAGAAACAACAAGGAAAGCACCTCTTCCCCGTCCACACCTGGCCCCGATCCATCATGCGTCCACACCGCCAGAAGGGTCTCCGATCCCAGCGGGATCTCCGAGTCCGAGGGACTAGTCTCTCTGCGTCAACCCCAAAAAATGCCAGACACAACACATGGGACTGCATGGCATATATCACCACACCCCTCTTCAACCACCCCAACTGCTCGGGACGACATGGAGTCGGACCTCTCGACGTCTCTGAAGTTCCGGCAAAGACGACGGTTCCAGTCGAAGGATGGAACCTTCCCAGTCGTTCAGAACGGAACCCGTGTCGTTCTTCCAAAGGAAGTCTGTTTGGGATGTGGAGGGGGTGTTCGATTCATTCCTCCAGACAGGTGGCTCCACCAGAACTCCCACTAAGCAAGAGCAAAGGATGATGCAAATGCCTGAGGCATGGGCAGGATTGGACAGGCGCGTGGGAAAGGTACCTTTCCAATCCTTTCCAAATGCACTTGCCATCTACCTGACATGAGGCATGACATGAGGAATGAGTGATCCTGAGTCTTTGTTGTGTTGCGGCCTTCAGGAGCAGGTGGGTTGCGTTCCATGGTACCCTCTAAATCGATTCAAATCATTTTAAATGCTTTGGGATGTGAACACTTAATGTAGACTCTTGATTTATAACCCCCCCATATGAAAAGGATGTCCCTTCAAATGGGAGGGTATATGACGGTATATTAATCAAGAGTCTACATGATGGTTTGTGTTTTTTTGCATGGACAAATTCAACACCTGCATTGACACATCCAATGCGCTGCCAGCAATGTAGAGTGAGATACAGTCCCATATGTTGGCTTCTGAGTGCCACGCTTGTAAGTTTAGAGGTATTGTTGATGGTCAAAACTCCGTGTGTGTGTGTGTGTGGCGCATGATTCCTGGCAATGAGTGTCTAAAAGCATGCAAGAGTGACATGCTTTCCAGTATTGTTCAGGGGCCTTGACTTCCATTGGGGTGGTTGTCCATGTAAGTACAGATTCCATGCAGAACTCAGGGTCGGGGTGGGCATGATCTGGGATGGCGTCAAATCATGAACAAACATTGTTTGTTGGGTTTACTGGCATGTTGATGTAGCAAATATTTGGTGAGCCCCTATGGTATCGAATGGTTGTATGTTGTTTAAAAAAATACATTTGAAAGCTACGAGTATGTGGCTTTGTCACACCCTTGGATATTAACAGTTGATGGCTCGCTGGTCATCAGAATGATGCATCGAAGCAACCATGTCCTGTCCCATGAGCCCCCACGTGCAGGGAAACCTGCCCGTGGAACGTGCAGGTTTGTGCCTGCATAGTGCACCATCTTGAAGCGGGTCTTCAGGTAGAAATAGGCGATCAAAGCAGTGAAGAGCACCACTAAGTTGTTCAGTGGCCTCAAGTTGCACTCACACACGATGCGACAAAAGCACAGCTACTCTGATACTCCAGAGATGTTGTCACAAACCTTTAGTCTTGGCTAGTGACCAACGCCCATCTGCATGGTTGCCTTGCCCAAGGGCAGCCCCTTCAATCGCCAAAAAAGGATTCTGAGAGTTGATGGTTAAATTCAACTACCAGCACCCGACTTCTGGCCAGGCTGTTAGTTGAGGGTTGGGACCCTGTTGACCTGGTCGAACCATTGGTGACCTGTAGAGTCGGTAGACCTGGTAGACCTTGTAAAGACCTTGGAAAGCATGGCATTTCACGGCATCTCCCGACCTGCTGGACTCGCTGGTGACTCTCTTTCTCAATCACCAAACGAAGACTTCTCCATCTCCCAAGGTGAGGTCCTGAAGTTCCACCCGCCACCCTTCACCTGCCACATCCTGCACCTCCTGGCACCTCTCCGAGGTTTTGGCCCCTCCCAACCCCGAAGCCTCCACCACCCCGAACCATTCCCTTCCCCTCCGAACCCACAAGAGGCGCTCCGTCGTCCCCTCGCCCCATCCCGTCGCCGCGCGGCGTCTGCAAGACCAGCGGGATGAAGGGCGAGGGCGGCGCACTGACGATGGCGTTGATCTGGTCGTAGAGCGCGAACTGCGCGATCCACTTCTGCGGGACCTGCCGCTTAGGTGCCGGAACGCCGGACCGACGGAGAGCGACTGATGTTCGCGTTCCGCGCGGTGCCATCGACCTTACCGGCCAACCGGCCAACCGGCCGGTCCGCGCGGTCGCTCGTCTGAGCCGGTCAGAGGTAGAACGGACGTCAACGCAGGTCAGAGGCGTCCGTGCTTCGCGCCCGCTGCGGTCGAGGCGCCGCTCCCTGGGTGGAGGCGCGTTCGCTGAAGGGCGAGAACCAGGAGAGGCCGAAGGACTTGTCACCTCGCCACGCGCGTTGGCCGCGCGGTTTTGGAAGAGTCGGATCGGTCGTTGTTGTGCGGCGTCCCAAACAACAAGGGGAGGGTCTTCGGTTGCGTGTCAAAAGACCTGGTCCACACCAGTCCAGCCGTGATGTATACGTTGTTCTTTCTTCCAGTGCTGACCGAGGAATACGATAGTATACATGATATTACTTCAATTGGAAGTTGAATAGTTCTTCTGTCCAAACTGGGCAACGAGTTCATTGATATATGTATATATAATATATATATATATATATATTATAGGGGGTCTAGGTGTTCTTAAGATTGTCCAGAGAACTGATACATCGAGAGTATCTGGATGTGAATATCCCAAAATCAAAGGACCCCCCTGCAAATCTCTATCTTCAAGGTATTTCCTGGTGCTTGCGCAGTCTTCGGTTTAGAACAGCAACTAAAATGGCTTAAAGACAATGACAGTGACATGATCTGCTTTCCGAAACCGCGCGGCTCCGGCGCTTGTTGAAGACATAGCCCAAGGAGACGAAGAAACACATCACCTGGCGGTCCCTCGACCCGACCTGGTTCGGACCCACTGCGCTCTGCGCCGCGTGGCCGTGTTGACGGTCACCAAAAGCTTGGATGAGGTTGTTCAACCTGTGGAACTATATAACCCAGGAACTCCATGTATGCCATATATGCCTACATTGACCCCCAAAACCACATGATGACAAACATATATAACCTGAGTGACCTCTGGCTTGTCGGATCAACGATGACATATGATCCAGAATGATGCCAAATTGGCTCTAGTGGGTAGACGCAGCACCCCGCAAAAAGGTCTCCACAGTGGCCCGCCAGGTCACCATCTGTATGTTTACCTTCCCGGCATCTGAGCGCAAAAGGTTTAGTTCATAAATTGGTTCACCAATTGGTCAGTGAAACCCAATGTAACAATCCATGAAAGGTAAAACAAAACAAACTATATGTTTCTGAATAGCGACATGTCGCTACATCTATTTTTAGGCTGTTGCTGCAGCCGTCCAAGAACCATGAAAAGAACACACGATAATACTGTTCTGTGCTTCTTGCTTCTTCTAATCATTAAACAAACAAACAAACAATATCAACAAATCCATCTAGTATGTGCATATTCCATCTAATCATTAAACAAACAAAAACATATGGATTCATTCATTGGTGGCACATGCTGTCCCCTCTGCAAACGGTCTATCACTGGGACAGTACACACATCAAACATCAATCCTGAAAACAACACACACAAACACACACACACACACACATCAGGGCTGTACGCTGCCTAATATCTAGCATGATTGATTGGACCATGTAGACTCTCTTGATTAATAACCTTCATATAAAAAAAAAATTACATGATCGGATTTCTCTGAGAAAATCCGGTCGACCTCTGGCTTCCACGAGCGCCTGCACCATAGGGGGCCAATAGATACTCATCAAGATCGCCTGGTCAAGAAAGCCGCCGGGGTCCGCATGCACATCACGAATTCGGGATATTTTTTTCATCCTGGTCTTCATCTCTCAAACCCAAAGATCTTGGATTTATGCACATACTTTTTGTCATGATTGACCAACCAATGTACTGCCTTATTAATTGGGTGCCCCAACAAAATGACATGACTCGTAGCCACGGTGCCCTCTCGTTTTCCTTCATTGGAGCTCCTCTTCTTCGATCCACCGACGTCCCTTCGAACGCCGCGGAGAACGCCGCGGCGGACCGCGGGCGCACCGTGTAGTCGGCCATGGACTTCTGGACACGATACAGGAAGATCCGGTCCTCTCGGCAGCGCAGAACAGGTCGCAGAGAAGCGAAGACACGTGGCGGTCTGCAGGTGGCGAATCCTTTTTTTTCGGGCCTGTTGCGGGGGGACACGTGGCTATACAAACGGGTTCCTTCTTTAAGGAGGAACTGGGGTAGATTTGGGATGATTTGGGTATCTGGTATAATACTTCATAGGCCAAGATTGGGATAAAATGGGTGGTTGTTGTAAGGCATACCCCATGTGCGAAGACAGCCCCTGTATGCAAACCAATGATGTCAACCTTTCTGAGGGTCCTCCTTTAATGTCCTTACATTTGTTTGGCAGGTGAAATGGTAATTTCAATGTTTCCAAGCTCATAACTCGGCACAACATTGACGAAAAGCTCCATATATCATGATCAACTTAAATATGACATTCTTCCAACAGGTGGTTTTTGGACACCGCTTCAGTCTTAACCGCTATTATAGGCCTCTTCAATAGACACCCAATTATGCGGGTCTTGGTAGACACCATCCCTTCATCCTGACTCTTCAACAAAAATACCCTTGCCATGCTGGGCGCCATCGGATGCGGCCTCCCTTCCGGTCTCACGCGCGTCCCCCGGTCCAGGGCGCGAATGATGATGAAGCCCACGAAGACCTGAAGGGACGGCGACCGCGACCGCGACCGGATGGCACAGGCTGACCCGGTGTTGACCGGACGGAGCAGCCGCGGTGCGTTCACCACTGCATGCCATGCCTTCCTCACTCTCTGAAATAGACTTCGAGGGCTGAATCACAAAAAAAGGCTCATAAGCTGATATGACAATATATAGTTGTCCAGCAACTCCGCCAAAATTACGTGAAGCTATGTGAAGCTGTGTCAAGATTAAGCACGTCATGTGAAGCCGAGCTGATCCCCCCCAATGACCCCAAAAAAAGAACCATCGCTTCGGAGCTTCCCCGCGCTACTGCCATCGTCTGCCCCTCGAGCTCCGCGCTGCGTCCGAGGAACCAAGGGCACGATGTACCTTTCCCTCCAAGCAGCCTTCTCCTGAGCAGCATCGGTGCACAAGCGAGCGATCGAGGAGGTGGAACAGTCTACAGTGATGAAGGGGGTGAGTGATATCGATGGTTCAGGGGGTGATGCAACAGTGACCTACGTACGGATTCACATATACATCATATACCTTCTCAGAAATGATTGGGGCTTTCCAATGCTTACCTAAATAAGTATCCAAATGTATCCAATCACCTTCTCAGAAGGTATGGTGGATCCATAGGGGTAGATGGTGCAGGGACCAAGATCTTCTGACTTCTCCCCCTCATGGAGTTCCATGAGGAAAGCTGCTGAACTTGGAGGGTAGAACTGCCCAGAAGATCCACTCACTTAATGACGCAAAAGCATTCCTTTGGAACTGCTGGAAGAGCAATTTCAATATGTTTCAAGAAGCTACGAGTTTGAGACGTCTGCTTCAACCAGCCGTAATCAGCCAGAAAAAAACTCAGGAATTAGATCCCAAACCACTCCAATGTAGGTAAATAGACCATACATGGAGTAATTGGGGATGTAACAGTCAGAAACCTTCAACATCGCCACCAGAGCAGCTGACCTCCACTTTCTCCAGATCCTCCTCGGTGGACATCTGTGAGAGCTCCTCGCGTTCCACCCAGATGAAGGTCGTCTTACGAAACAGCGGAAACTGCACACTAATTGAGAGGGATGTTTGAAGTTGCATATTACCGTACATGTTTGAAATGGATGCGTGTTACATACTTCCTCAGAATCAAAGCGCTCCAACTAATCTCAAGCACCTCCCAAATACTGCGTAAACTCACGTGGGTTTCAAATTGGTTGCAAAGGGTTTCATCCTCATCCACCAAGACTTGCCGCGCCATTCTCGCGGCAAGGTCTCAGCACAAAACGGCGGGAGAATCAGCTCAGCTCAGCCAAACAGCTGCAGAACAGGAAGCGGCGAGGAAGCCGCCAAGAAAGAGGTTAAGACTTAGAAGCAGGGAAGTTGTGTTTGGCGATTTGCTTGAGATTTCTACACATGTGTCAATGATACTGCCTATCAATATAACTATGTGGTTTCTGCAAATACCAATGGTGGCCAGAAAAACTTAGATGTTGTGGTCACTTGTTCTTTTTGCGCAACTGGATCTTAGAAGGAGAGATGTTCCATAACCCTGCTTATTCTTCGCTCTTCGGCCGAACTTCGGCCCCCTGAAACCACCTTGTTGGTTGCTGAAACATCAAACACCTTTGAATGGTGTCTTTCCCTTCTTCCCCTCCAAAATCCCGGCGCTGTCGCCAGGCGAAAGAACCCGGTCACACGTGTGAACACCGGTTCAGACCGTGGCCAGACGTGACGTGCGAAAAGGCGGGAGGAAGTGCCTCACTAGTGTCATTAAGTGTCCCAAAGATGAGAAGTTGGGTGATGAGCAGTTGGGCAGCTTCTTCAATTCATTGGAAACCTCATTCACCTTTCCCCACTCCCCAAGCCAAGTCGAGCATTGAAACGACACACCAAACCCTCGCAGCAAGCCAGAAACACCGGACAAAAAACAACGTGTGTTTCTATCTCTGAGCCTCTGCCATGTGATGCCGTTCCAGGTGCAAGTCCAAGTAATGCTCGCTCTTGAAGACCTCACCGGATCGTAGCGGAGAAAAACCGATGACCAACTCGCCAACTCGCCAGGTGGGGCGAACTCGCCGCCTCGATATCCCTTGCCTTAAGACCACCTGGGGACCACCCACCTCAAAAAATCATAAAAGTCATTTTGAGGTGGTCACACCACCTCTGTTGTACACATTCCTGGGGTGTCAGTGTCATACCCTCTGAAATCATTTGATGAGTCTTTTTGGTTTTGTATAAGACCTCCAAACTTGGAAGATTTGGAAGACTCTGACGGGGGGGGTCCTGGGGAATTTGTTTCCAACAGCCATAAAGCGTGAAAATAAAGAAGCGGTCATTGAACAACATAACATGTGGATCCATGGCCATACATCTGATCTATTCTGAGTCCTGAACCTGTGACCCTCAATGCCACAGCATACTTGAGCTACAAAGTTCAAATCCACACATCACATCAATCAACTCACAAATCTATTTTGGAGGTGGTCTGTGACCCTCCCCCCTCTAAAACCATTATCTGCTTGCAAGAACGAGTGTCTATTTCCAGGAATTCCCTTATTGAATTGTCATATTTATTTATGTTTGTAATTAGTTTGCCCCCGCCCACCACTCACCTGACTGAAATAGTTGGGAGTCGTAAGTATTATATTGTGGAAATTATGTTGGAAGGTCACACCCACCTCGAAATAATTACTGTAACCAAAGCATGGGTTATCCGCCTCGCCTTCCACGAGGAAGGCAGGAAGGTCTTTGGTCACGCGAAAAGGGTCTGTAAAAGGAGTCTCTGAGAGAGAAGGCGCCAACTCATTGAGACTCGGCGCAAAGAGAGTTCTTCAGGGCATTAAATGACATTTGACCGCGTGGTCAGTGATGGGCAGGAACGATTCAGGTCCGAAACCCTAACTTGTGGTGAACCCGAAAACAGATCGGAACAGCTCAGATCCGAAAGCAGTGAAACAGGGCAGCGGAGGCAGCGGCCACCCATACCCCACACACGACCTGTCTGGTACTATTATACAAAAAGGCGGGGGTTCAAAAGCCGGTGAATGTATACCAGTCCCGGCCACAAGTCTTGTTGTGTTTGTAGTCCTACAAAACGCAGCACCAGATTCGCCACCGGGGCCTTCTGGCAATAGCCGCAGGTCCACATGCCCGTTGCACTGCGTTTTCGCGTCTTGTGTTTCTCCTTGCGGTGCGGCTTCACCACGTGGGACACCGGACGTTGGACGACGAAGAAACCGACGAACGTGCGCGCTCTAACGGGGAAACTTGGTGCCCGGAGGGCCCGGACTCCTTAATTGAACTGTTTTGAACTAACAAGAGTTATATAGATATATGTCAACATGATGCATCAACAAACCTGGGGCATTACCCAACAGTTGGTTGTCTGAATTTGGCGGGCGGTGGTTGTGTTTTTGGAAAGGTAATCATCGCATGTATATATCTAATTGTTTTGAATATATATAATATAAACCGACCTCAAACAATGAGATACAATTATAGATATTGACAATACACGAAATGAAGACACAACAAAGCCCGTTCAATGTCATGACCGTTCGTCTCTCGTGCGTTGTGTCGCTCGACCTAACACCGCACCTACCGACCCTTATTGGTGTTGTCTTCACCCCCGAAACAGCGCGACGGTCCACTCCTGCCCAGCCCAGAGGTCACGTTGAGGAGCAAAGGGACAAAGATCCGGCCAGTCCTTCAGCCCTCCAGGTGCCAACGGCTTGGTGCCAACGCACGTGGAAGCACGTGGGGTGTAGGTGATATCCCGGAAAAAACAACAGCAGTGTATCATAGTGTATCTAAAGGTCTAGGGCCTAAGGTCTACAGGTGGTGATGATGGTGGCGGTGGTGATGGTGGTGGTGGTGGTGATGGTGGTCTGGTGATGATTGTGGTGTTGGTGATGGTGATGGTGGTGAGAATGGTGATGGTGGTGATGATGGTGGTGGCGGCGGCGGTGGTGGAGATGGTGATGGTGATGGTGGGGGTAGGGGTGACCAGGTTTAGGTTTGAGTCCACAGTTCTAAGTCTACGGGCCGGAGGTTTGGAGAACACACATAAAGACACGCGTGGGAGCACACACATGAACACATAGCACATATCTGTTTGGGGAACAACAAGGCGGTGGCCCGTGCTTAAAAAACCAAGGGAATTGTGGTAGGTAAACCGACTTCGGGTCAGTTTACAACGATCTGACGTGGACTGACCGAGTCACACCCTAGCTGTACCTTGGTGGCCCCTCCCTCGGGACGTGCAACGCCTGCGCGCTCCGCCGGTTTGAGGATCTCTCGCTCAAGCCTGGGCCGATTTGGTGGGACTTGGTTGATCTTCAGCTGTGTGGTTTTCCTGCTGCTGGAGTTTCGGCATTGTTACCATGCAGGCAGCAAGCGGCGTTATTTTGTGCAATCTAGTCCCTCCAAGCCAATCATCTGCACAGGACCTGACTTGATTGAAACAATGTTAGGGGCTTCAGGGAATAAACCTTTGAAAGGTTGACAAGCTGCCTCGCGGGAAATATGTACCCGTCAAAACGGATGAAATCAGCAACGTTTGACCGATTTCATGCTGAGTGTCAGAAACCAGGGCCGCTGCTCATCCTTCGCTACGACAGGGGTCTGACATGAGTTCGCAGTGGTCCTCTCAGAATGTTTTCCGGAACCCCTTGAGCGTTAAGCCGCGCGCAGCAAGCTGCCGTCGCCAAACGGCTCGGCCACCAGCAGTTTCTACAGGTTCCTGTTCCAGCAGCTCGCACGTCATGAGGTTCGTCCGGTTCGTCAACTGCAACCCACTGCAAATCTGCCAGATCATTGCACAGTTCCATATGTCCGAGATTAGCAATAGTGGGGGTATCTGCTGGACCAGACCAACATTTTTGGAAGAACTATCGGGTGTCCAAAAAAAATACCAAAAAGAGGGAGTGCAGTATAGTGTAGTTCGTTCTGGGCATCATCCACAGACTGAACACCACCATGTTGAAGTATTGACCGCACGGGCACAGCAGGTTTTTGTCCACAGGGATGTGCTCCAAGGAAGGCTGTCTTTTGTCTCAAAAACCAGCGTTCCAGGTTCCACGCAGGCGCTTCTGCGCCTGGAGATCCGCGCGTCTCAAACCAAGCTGGCACGAATTCGCAGGACTAGTAAGCTCTAGCCCGATTGCTTTTCATAATTTAAAGTTGAATCAATCCCAACGGCAAATCTGTATCATTCAAAGCTTGCGAAGCATTGAAGAGCCCTGATGGGGACAAGGTGTAAACATCATCGCCATCATGAACCAATATTGCCAACCGCATGCTCTTCGTCAGCCGCTAGGTCTCAAGCAAAATTAAAGCCAGTACGTTTTGCGTGGCAAGGAAGGGTCAGGGTTTACCCCCCCCCCGTACACTCACAGAGATACCTGCGCCTGCGCGAGCACAATCCTGACGTCGGGGGAGCACGCGACACAGTCTGGCATGCTATCTTGCATACGTTGAGGCGCTCCATCTGGTATATATTCTGGCATTTTAGGCAGTATATGTTGTTGGATTCTATCTAGCATATATTCTGGTACTCTATTTGAGAATTTTTTGCATTCTATCTGGCATTTTCTGGCAATTTATGTATGTGGCATAAAACCGTGCATTCTATCTGGCACATACTCTGGCATTCTATCTTGCAAACTTGAGCGGGGAAACACGAAAGGTAGAGACGGACCGGGTAGCGGTCGGGACCTTTTCTGGTGAGGGACTGTCTCCGGTGTTTCAGGAACGTTCCCCTTTGGTCAGTCATGGATGAAAACAACGAAGCCAAAGAGCACAAGAAGGCTCAAGAGGAACACCGTTGCGATCAGATTGCGCCACCCGGCTCTGCAGAGAGGCTACGTTGCGTCGACGCTTGTTTGTGTAAAGGTGTGTGAAAACAGGCGCGCGTAAAAGTCGCAATGCGTAAACGCTCGCATGTTAACCACAGCTACACGCACTGTGTCAGGATTACAGGCCTGCACGCGTTGCGTCGAAGCCGCCGGTACTGCCAGGGATGGACGTCACGCTATGGTGGGTGGCTGATGGGAAGGGTGCGTAATAGTAAATAGCTGTGTAGTGGTGCTCCACGATGCGGTAAGATGTCGCCACGCGAGGGTATAAGGCTGAGTCGAATGGTGCCCCGCGAAGCGAGAGGTTTCTCCACAGGGCTTTGCAGAGAGGCTGTGTTGCATCGATGCTCGTTGGTGTCGAGCAATATGGTCTGTGAACGCAGTACGCGCTATGTCAGGCTGC